CTTGAAGCCAGACCACGCCATAGCCATCTCTCTAGCGATTCAGCCATGGTACCCCCTTTCCCCGATGGATCATGTGAGAACCTTAAGCCAAACTGCTCGCAGCCAGACATCTAAGGCCACGGCGTGGTGTCATCACATGCAGTAACGTAGGCTCCAACACCAAGCGGCCACTGACTCTGCGTGCCCATGCCAGCCTGCGCAAACGAGAGGCTCCAACCATTGACGCTCTCGGCCAAAAAGCTGATCGTCCTGACGATCCCCGGGGAGCGGTCGACGCCACACTCAAAAGTCCCCACGGTGATGGCGTCCTCGGACCCGAACTGATAGAAATCTTCCCACGGCGCCCAGTCGACGGGCCCCGCCATAGTCTCGAGGCCCGAAGCCGAGGCATCGTCGCGCGTGTAGACGTGATACCACTCCATGCCCGCGCCGGCCGAGTCCTGCTGCTCCGACCCGCTCCAGGCAGCACACGGGTACCCCTCGGGCAAGTTCGCGCAGGCGGGGAAGCGAAACTCGACGGCGCAGCGGCGGGTGGTCGCGTCGCGGGGGTGGTTCACCCACAGCGGCGCCATCTCGAACTCGAAAACGGTGCTGTTCTCGTCGTTGATGCTGGCCCAGCCGTCGGGGTTGACGACGAGGCTGTCCAGGGGCCCCGACCCGACCCGCTTGGCAGGCAGCCTCGTGGAGGTGTCGCTCAGCGTGCAGCTTTTGCGCGCCGGAGACACCTCCTCGATGGTGCCCGTCACGGGGGCGCGCGTCGACTTTGTGGGCGACCTGAACTTCTCGAGGAGGCCGCGGTCATAGCAGCCGCTGCTCGGCCCGACTTGCTGGAGCGACACGTCGACACACCCTTCCTGGTCCTCCTTGGCCCGGGAGTACAAGACGAAGCTGCCGGCGTCGGAACTGGGCCCTTCCGAGGGGCAGGCGAGAAACTTGTCGTGGCCGTCGTACGTGAGCAGTATGGGCTTCTCCCCGCCGTCGGTGGCCTCGCCAAAGTCGAAGAAGAAGTCACCGTCGCCAGGGACGCCGCTCAGGCACTCGAACTTCATCGAGGGGGGGCTGAAGCGGCAGCCGTTGCCGATGCTGTCCTGAAGCCGGTCGGCGCTTTCGTCAGCGCATATGAACGCTTCTTGAAAGTTGCTATTGACGCGGAGGTCACCAGTCGTGCCATGCTTGAGCTTGCCGCCCAAGTCGCCAGAGACTTCGAGAGTAAAGCAGCAGTCAAAGTCCTCACTCTGGCATGCGACAATGCCAGCTAAGCTGATCGCCGCAAGGCTGACCAAGGAAACCGTGGGGAACACCATGGTGGTGAGATTGGAAAAAAAAGGGAGACGAGAAAGATGAGTTGACAGCGAGCAGGTATTGTCGACGAGCCCCGACTAGCTGGTGTCAATGTGGGCTGTGAAGATGAACAGAGAGAAGTCCCATCACACACAACGGGTCAGAAAGCACCTCTTATAGCCACCTCGAGGTATCTTACAATAACGGACACGATTTCAGGGACGATGGAACAAATCGGCGGCCCAAGAGATCAGGCCAACGGCTCTTTCCATCAGCAACCAGACGCTCTAGGAGGCAGCACCACATTGAGCCAAACATTTCTTGGTCCTACAGATTTCCTGTCGCACTTTTGCCCTGCGGTTTGCCGCCGAGGAAGACTCAACGGCATGGGCAACCCATCAGCCGTGACGATGCCCATCATAACCGACTGCCGAGGGCCTGTATGGCGGTGCACCATTGCGTGGCGAGCTGTCAGTTGACCCATATGATGGTGTTTGCACGGTCCCTGCCACCTGTCTTGTGTCCCTGACAGTGCCACCGAAGAATATTCGGCAAGTGATCTAGACGTCGCACCGCTGTGCCCCCCCCATCTGACGAGCCTCGCCCTGAGAAGCGGTCGTACTCCGGGGGATGAGAAACAACGAAAATAGCAGAGTTGTTTTGTGAGCATCTGTTCTTTTACGATGACGCGAACTCACATGCCGGACATGGGCAAACATGACTGCAGAAGGGACGACGTATAATGCGGAAACCCGCGTGGCCAGTATCCACATAGCATATGGCTTATCTAGTTCCCTCATTTGGCTACATCATCAGTCCCGCGATTTCGGCATCTTCTTGTCCTCGAGTCCTTCCATGTCCTTCTTCTTGTAAAAGTGGGGGGCAAGCTCAGCAAGCCACTTGGGCTCGATGGGCATACAGCTGCGCATGTACTCTTTGGTGGTCTGTACCAGCTCAAAGTAGACGAGCATCTTCGTTGGCGGATCCACACCCATGAGGACTGAGCTGGGGTGGATGTACACGGTGGCATTCTTCTTGACGGTGCGATAGCTGTCGCCGCTGCGTTGTAGACGTCCGGCATTGGGGAAGAACCCGGGCGGTGATGGCGCGTCTGATGGGGGTGAGGTTGGAGGCTCCGCAGGACGAAGGGGACACTTCGACGCGCTCGCAGAGCTTGGCGAGCTGGTCTCTCACATCGCGAGCGCGCGTCAAAGAGCGCTGCTGCAAGAAGTTCTCGCGAGACCAAATGGGCGAGAAGTCACTATCAACCCACTGGTTCCATATGTTGAGCAACGTCAGGTGATCACCGCCCTCTTTGACAGTAAATCGAGCGCGGGCACTGTCGGCATGGATCTTCTTATCCTTGGGCCTGAAGAACAAGGCCGAGGCCTCTGACAGCATCGACACGACGGACAAGACCTCCTCGACGCAGCCTTCCTTGTCGGCAGCCAAGACAGCCTTGGCCAGCATTGGATCTGTAGGAAACTCGGCCATCTGGCGCCCCATCTTTGTCAGCTCACCCTTGTGGTTGAGCGCTTGCAGAGCAAACAGCTGGTTCAAAGCCCCGATGAGTGCTTCCGTAGGCGGGGGGTCCATGAACTCAAAGTCAAGCAGTTCGTTGATGCCCAACGACTTCAACTGTAGGACAACGCCATTGAGGTTCGTACGCTGAATCTCGGGCATGGGTGACTCGTCCATCTCGTTCATGTAGGCAAACTTGGTGTACAGCCTGAAGCACTTTCCTGGGCCGACACGACCGGCACGACCGCTCCTCTGGTTTGCTGAGGCCCGAGAGCATGGCGCCACGACGAGATTGGACATGCCAGTAGCTGGGTTGTACACGTTCTCCTTGACAAAGCCCGGGTCGATGACGTAGACGATACCGTCGATTGTCAAACTCGTCTCTGCAATATTCGTGGCCAGTACGACCTTTCGAGCGCCCTCAGGAGTGGGCTCAAAGATTTTTGCCTGGAGGTCTGAAGGCAAATTAGCGTAGATTGGGCAGATGATGAGCTCCTTCACACGGTTCCCCAGCTTCTTTGCAGTGTCGGCAATCTGCTGCTCAGCCGAGTCAATCTCGTCTTGACCAGTCAGGAACACGAGGATATCGCCCTTGCCTTGCGTTGTGTGAATCTGGAAGACGGTGGTGATGGCAGCGGCAAGGTAGTTGGCCTCAGGGGCCGGCGTGTAGTAAATGTCGACGGGATAGCGACGGCCAGGAATGTTGTAAATAGGGGCATCGTCAAAATAAGCAGCAAACTTTTCCGCGTTCATTGTAGCCGAGGAGATGAGCAACTTGAGGTCGGGTCGTTCTCGGGCCAGATCTTTGAGCAGGGCAAGCAAAATGTCCGTGTGCACGGTTCTCTCGTGCGCCTCGTCGATCATGATGGCAGAGTAGCCAGCGAGATCAGGTTCCGTCATGAATTCTCGCAGCAACATGCCATCCGTCATGTACTTTAGGATTGTCTTGTCGCTTGTGTTGTCTTCGAAACGAATATTGTAGCCGACCTCCTGCCCAACCTTGACACCAACCTCATCGGCGACGCGCGCCGCGACACTCATGGCGGCGACACGACGAGGTTGCGTGCAGCCAACCTTGGCGCCATTCTTTGTGTAACCTGCCTCGTGAAGGTATTGCGGGAGCTGCGTGGTTTTGCCTGATCCCGTTTCGCCGACAATGACAAGAATCTGGTACTTCTCCATGGCCGCGAGAAAGTCATCTCGGTACTGATAGATGGGCAGGCTCTTTCTCGTCTCCTGGATCGAGAGCTGCTTCTTCTCGGCAGCCTCAATCTGCGCCGCAAGAAACGCCTCCTCCTTCGTCATGGTCTTGCCCTCGCCCGGCAGCCTAGAGTCCAGGTTCCACTGAATGTACTGGTCGTGGTCGAGGACATAGTCGTAGTCGTCGTTCTCACGCTCGCCTCTGTTGATCTGGGCCTTGGCCTTGGCAGTCTGCTCCCTTTCCCACTCGTCATGTTCAGTGACGAACTTCTCCTGCCCGTATTCGTCCTTGTCGACATATCTCTTGTATAGCGCGTCCTCCTTCCTCCTGCTGTCGATTTTGCCCTTCTCGGTGATGTAGTCCTCAGGCATGTAGTATCCGTCTTTGTGGTCGTCGATCTTGAGTCGCTCCTCGGCCAGGCGCAAGATTTCTCGGTTTTTCGCAAAGTCAGCCCGCTCCCGCTCCGACAGCCTGACGCCGCTCCTCAGCTCCTCCGTCTCCTCGGCGACCTGTTTGCGAAGCAGCGCCAGCTTCTCGGCCTCGCGCTTCTGTAGGTACTGCTGTCGGCTGCGGAGACGCAGGTCGGGCATCGCGGCGAGGCGGTCGGTCGCGCTTTCTGGGCCTCGTTTGCTGTCGCGCGGCTTTGACTTGCCGTCGTCCTTGTCCCTCAGCCGCTTGGCGAATGCCTCTCGTTCCTCGATGTCGCGTTGGCGCTCGAGCTCCTCCCTGGCACCGTCGGACAAGTCTGCGTCACGGTCGCCGTCACGGTCGCCCTCGCCATGACTGAGCTTGACGCGTTTCGGCGCCGACTCTTTGAATTCGGGCTCCTCTTCCACGTCGTCCATGTCCGAAGGCGGTTCCTCGTCGGCCCACCTGTCGTCCGCATCGGTATCGCGCTTTCGGTACTGCTGCTTGGCGGGGCGATGGGGCGACCGTGATCTGGAACCGCTGCGTCGTCTTGAAGACCGTTCGCCGCGGTCCCTGTCATTGCGGTCGTGGTCGCGATGGCGATGCTTGGATCGCTTTTCCTTCTTCTCCTTGGTGACTTTGGCGGGGCCAAGCTCGTCGTCTCCCATGGGGAGGAATGCGTACTTTTTGCTCGACATGGCTGGCAATGAACGGACTGCGACTACATGTGCCAGCAAGAGGGTTGTAATAAACCGGACACAGCGAACCCTGACGAGCGCCCTGGAGCTGGAGTAAGAGGATGATGAGACCCTGCCTGCTTCACGCTTTCACGCTTTCACGCTTCACGAGGTACCTAGGTACCTAGGTACTTGCTGGGCAAGCTGGGCACCTCTGAAGTGGAGCCAAGCAGCTGATAAGAGCGTCCCAAAAAGTTATCTTATCGCTCTTATCGTAACCTCCCAAAGCCTCCGTCTTAACACGTTGGAACTTCTTGGTCGCGATGCTAACTACAGTCGGAGCGCCCCCCCTCTGTCTGCCCGTCTTCTGCATACTTGCTTCCCTGACTTGGTTCCGTTGCCTTCATTCATTCTTTTCAGTTTCGGCGTTTTCACTTCATATCTAGAGATTCGATTGCACCTCACGTCCTCCAGCATTTTTAGCGGACAAGACGGCGACGCGATCATGGTGTTCCGTGGAGCAGCGTTACTGCTGCTGCTGCTGCTGTCTCTTGTCACCATTGCCCTTTGCGCCGAGGACTACTACAACCTCCTCGGCATCGACAAGCAGGCATCAGATCGTGAGATCAAGTCTGCATACCGCAAGCTCAGCAAGAAATACCACCCGGACAAGAACCCGTATGCAGTTCCCTCCTCCTCCCTGCCCCTCCACTGAACCGGCAGCCCCCGCCCCCCCCAATCTCACTACACGTGCCACGTCTCTGACCAAGTCTGGGTTCTCCCCCCTCTGCAGTGGCGATGAGACGGCAAAAGAGAAATTCGTCCAAGTCTCCGAGGCGTACGAGGCCCTGATCGACCCCGAGCAGCGCCGCATCTACGACCGGTACGGCCTCGACGGTCTCAAGCAGCACCAGCAGCAGGGCGGCGGCGGCCAGCACCACGACCCCTTTGACGTCTTCTCGCGCTTCTTCGGCGGCGGCGGTCACTACGGGCACCAGCCCGGCGTGCGCACGGGGCCCGACGTCAACGTCAAGGTGGGCATCGCCCTGCGCGACTTCTACAACGGCCGCACCACCGAGTTCCAGTGGGACAAGCAGCACATCTGCGAGGACTGCGAGGGCACCGGCTCGGCCGACGGCACCGTCGACACGTGCCAGCACTGCCAGGGCCGCGGCATCCGCATCGTCAAGCACCAGCTCGCCCCCGGCATGTACCAGCAGGTCCAGATGCAGTGCGACGCCTGCGGCGGCCGCGGCCAGTCCATCCGCCACAAGTGCCCGACCTGCCACGGCGCCCGCGTCGAGCGCAAGCCCACGACGGTCCAGATCAAGATCGACCCCGGCGCCGCCCGCGACTCGCAGATTGTCTACGAGAACGAGGCCGACGCGAGCCCCGACTTTGTCGCCGGCAACCTCGTCGTCACCCTCGCCGAGAAGGAGCCCGAGCTCGACGGCACCGACAACCCCGACCGCGTCGACGGCGTCTTCTTCCGCCGCAAGGGCGACGACCTCTACTGGCGCGAGGTGCTGTCGCTGCGCGAGGCCTGGATGGGTGACTGGACCCGCAACCTCACACACATGGATGGCCACATTGTCCGCCTCGGCCGGCCGCGGGGCGAGGTTGTCCAGCCCAACTTTGTAGAGACTGTCAAGGACGAGGGCATGCCCAAGTGGCACGAAGACATTGACAGCGTGTACCACCAAAAGGAGTTTGGCAACCTCTACGTCGAGTACGTCATCGTGCTACCCGACCAGATGGAGAGCGGCATGGAGAAGGAGTTCTGGAGCGTCTGGCAAAAGTGGCGGGGCAAGATTGGCGTCGACCTGCACCAGGACAGTGGGCGTCCAGAGAAGCCTACCGTCCATGACGAGTTATGATGAGTAGAAGAAGAGCAGATGAGAGACGAAGATGAATATGAGGTACATAGATCAAGTTAGACCAAGATATCCGGGCCGAATGAGTAGGCAAACCAAGTACGAAACAAGCAAGCAAGAAAGCAAGCAAACAAGCAAACAATTTCAACACCCGTCCCGTTCGCTTCGAGGTGCCTCAGTTATAGCGGAAACAGTCTACCCAATACGTGTGTCCTCTTCTGAAGGGGGAATACGTGTGTCCTCTTCTAAAGGGGGAAAAAAGATGTCCCAAGCCCTTTCGTACAGTTGCGCTTCGCCGAATCGCTCGTCGTTGCCATCATGATGTGAAGAGCCGCTTGAACGCGGCCCTGAACCCGTTCTTCTCCCTCTCCTTCTCCTTCTCGATATCACGGTCACGCGTCCTCTTCCGCTCCTCTTCCCTCGCCCTCCTCCGCGAGTCTTCGCCCTTGGTGCTAGACCCTTCCTCAGAAGCAGCAGTTTCCTCCCTCGCTCTCCTCGCTGCTCGCCGCGCTTCTCGGGCCTCCTTGGCCTCCTTAGCCTCGCGAGCCTCCTCGGCCACGGCGTCTCGAGCTCGCGCTAGTTTGGACAGGTCCTCCGTGCGAGACCTGTGCCCGTGCCCATGCCGAGAGCGGGTAGTGCTCGACCGCTTAGGCACCTCACGTGAAGAAGGCGAAGCTTCCTCAAATGTCACCGTTGGGGCTTGCTCAGGCGTTGCCGGCTTCGCGTGGGATGACGGGCTTTGGAAGCCCAGCCCTACACCGCCTTCAGCATTCTTCATGTCGAAGAACTTCTTGTTCGAAACAGTTGCAGGCGCCGAGGCGGGCCCTTCGTCCTTTGAAACTGAAGTGCTGTGGCGTCGCACTCGGCGATGGTGGTGGGCACGCTCCGCGGGCGACGACGCGTCAATCTCGGGTTCCTTACCCTTGCTCTCCTTGACTGCCGAGCTGCGTGACCTTTCCTTCTCCTTCTCTCTGCGCCTCTCTTCACCTCTCTCCAACTCTCGCTCCCTCTCGCGTGCAGCCCGGCGCTCCTCCTTTCTCCGCTCGTGCGCCGCCTGCTCTTCCGGGGTCCGCTCGCGCCGCTCTTCTCGCCTGTGATCGCGCGCAGCCTGATCCTCTTGAGCATGTTCATGTGCCCGTCTGTCCTCCCTTCTCCTTTCGCGCGCTGCCTGTTCCTCTTCGGCACGTTCGCGTGCTCGCCGCTCCTCCTTTCTTCTCTCGTGGGCGGCTTGTTCTTCAGGGGTGCGCTCGCTGCGATGCCGTCGGCGGGCGGAGCCGGTCGTCTGAGGGCTTTCTGCGGAGAAGCCGCTATCCTGGCGTTGAGGAGTGCGCGGTGGCGTCTGGGGATCGGCGTCCGCAGTCGATCGACTCGAACGCTCTCGGTCACGTTGACGGTCATGCTCGCGTTCGGCATCAGTGCGATGCCGGCGGTGGGATGAACTCGAGTGGTGTGAGTGGCGGCGGCTACTGCCATCCTTACTCGAGTCCTCAGGTCGGCTACGGCTGGAGTGGTGGCTGGATTGATGGGACGAGTGGTGAGAGACTCGGTGCCTGCGACGTCTTTCACGATCATGAGAAGAGTCTGCTTCTTTGTTGTCATCTGCAACGTCTGCAAATAGGTCAGCAACAGACTTTTGAAGTTCTTCTTCCTTCCCAAGATCAGAAGCGGATGCTTCGATGCGTGTGAGACTGTCTTTGTCCGAAATAGGGTCATCCAGCATCTGGTGCTCGATGCTCTGCAGATTGTGCCTCGGGTTCGGCTTAGAGCTTCCCAGTGTAGGACTCGATGGCGGGCTGAGAACTTCCGCCGTCGCATACAGAACTACGGCGGCAGCCACCATTTCCTCGGCGCGAGCAATAGATTGCTTACGTTCCCGTCTCCTGATTCTCTCCCACTGCCTGCCCGATGGTGAAATAGGAGGCGTAGGTTCGGTTGCGTCCGGCAAGACAATGGCAGGCGTTGCCGCTCGTGATGGTGCGTCCAGCCGGGGTGTGAGAGGGCGGAGTTGAGAGTTCAAGAAGGAGTCATCCGTTTGAGTGCCCTCGTCACAAAGAATGAGATTGTCAGGTTTGCCTGGCGACTGTGACGCATGGCAGTTTTCAGGCTCGGAGGGTAACTTCAAGGCTGAAGCCGTCATGTCAACAACCTCGTCGACGTTCTGCCTCTCAAAGCTCTCGCCTGACATTGACATTGGCTGGTCAAATAGAGTTTGGGTCAACTTGTCAGAGGATGCACGATGTGCGATAGAGGACGTCTCCAGGGTCTGCTCACGGGATGGCTGATCGTCGCAGAATACAGGAGCAGATGCGACTAGACCCGCGGCTCCCGCTGTGACTACAGCAGCAGTTGCCGTATTATGGAATACGCTGCTAATGTCGACGTCGCCAGCCATTTGTTTTGGCTCTTGAAGAGGCTGCTCCAGACTCCCAGAGTCGTCAGGAAGGGCCTCAACCTCGGGATATGTGTGCCTCTCTGCCTCCCCATTCTTGTTGATCTCTTCGGGAACATTGATGTCTTCAAGTCTTGCTGCAGCATCCATGTCATCCTCAGTGTCGGTTGGCAGGACTAGAATATGTTCTTTGGGGTTTCTTGGGCTTTGAGCGTCGTCAACGACGGACACAACCGGCTCACTGAGTAGTCCGCCTTCCGAGATGGGCAGGTCTTCGTTTACAAGCGAAGGACGATTCTCTTCAGCAGCTTTTAGCGTAGATGAGACGTCAATCATAGGCTCACCAACCGAGGATGGAGCTACAGCCAATGTGTCTGCCAAATCAGATGCAGGCCACTGCGTCCCATCACCCGTATTGGCTAGGGTCTCTTCATCCACAAGCGATTGATGATGCCCTTCAACAGACTCAGCATCATCGCTGTGGGCGTGATCGTCCTCTTCCGTGAGAGTTGCGAACTTCGGCGCTGGCTCCTCAGATGGGTAGATTTCCGTGGCCGACTCGCCACTGCGCTGCAGGCCTGATTCCCAGCCCATCGAAAAAGACGCGTCCTGCTCAGTCTCGATGTCTTTCGCCACGATGTCTTCAATGGCGATAGTGTCCCCACGGGCTACAGGAATGGGCGATCCTGACAGCTGGGCAGTCGACATCGCCACTTCTTCGGCTGTCGTCTCTGTTGAGACATCAGAATCAGGCCCAGCACCCGTAGAGGTTTGATCCTGAGAACAAAGCTGGTCCGAGGGCTGTTCTTTGTCTGATGCGAGAACCGACTCTGCGAGAGGTTGATCTCCGTCCTGCAGGAGATCGAGCTTTCCGTCATCAACCGTAGTCGTGACAATGTCGGGCTCTTCCCTTTGACTAGCATTTGTACTGCCTTTCGGGCCGTCTGTTGCAAGATCTGTCGTGGTGCAGTCCACCTCGTAGCTACTGTCCGGCCCGATTGGGGTTTGCGGCAAATCCACGGATTCACCTGGGAAACTCTCTGACGCCTCAGGCGCTGCGGCAAGGACAGAAAACGGTTGTTCGTCGCCCAGGGTATTGGTCTCGACATGGCCGACTCGACCGATGACAACATCGCTTTCTCCGACGGCTGTGTCAAGGGCAGGAATCACCGCCATTTCTTGACCCGCCACACATTCGGGGGCACCATGTCCCGACACGTTGCCCGCAGCTGGAGTTGAGAGATTGTGCGCAATCCCATCTCTCACGTCCTCACCATTGATTCCCGAAGCTGGTCCTTCGACCACGTCTCGCACGCTTCCATTTGGGGCATCATGATCAAGGAAATGGAGATGGGTCTCACCTGTTTTGGGTTGACTCTTTGTCTGTTCGCTGCCGATGATGGGACCAACAGAGTCCTTGCCCTCCTCCGCTTCAGCCTTTTTGTCTTCATCAACTCCGGGTGGTGGGGTTGGTGGCGCCGCATCGGTCGGATCCGCAGTCTCGCCAACCTGAGGCTCCTTGGACGATTCTTCTTGGGGCGCGGCCGCTTCTGGGCTGGGAACCGCGCCTCCAGGAGGCTCGACACCCCCAGTGTTACCAGTCGGTCCTTCTGTCTCCTGAGGCAATACGGCAGTAGAAACTTCAGGTTCCGTTACATGGGCTGCGTCATCAGGAGCCGACGCTGTGTCAATGGGCTCGCCATTGTCAGGTTCCTTAGGGGGGACCCCTGGCTTGGGCGCGTCCTCGATGACCTCAGTAGCGGGCTTGTCTTCTTGAGTCGCGGCCTCAGCATCCTTGGGCGTCTTGGTACTGTCTTCTTCAACCACCTCTGCCTTGGGTTGAGCTGAGCTGTCCCCTTGAGAGGACGGCTCTTCCTCAATCGCCTGGACATCTTCAGACTCATGAGGGGCTGCAGTCTGTGCCTCGGGTTCAGAAGCTGGCTTTTCATCTTCGACTGCTGGTTCTGGTGGCTCAACGACTACATCAGGCTCCTGAGCTGTGTCGTTTGACGTACTTTCCGCCTCGTTATTTGGCTGTGGAACTTCGGTTAGTGCGCCCTCTGGAACCAAGTCGATGGTGGGAGCATCCGCCACCTTCAAGTCATCGGAGGACGAGACCTCTGGCTCGGAACTTGGGTGGGTTGTGGCAGGTTCAGACCCCTGTTCGACAACAGCCGGAGCTGCCTCTACAGACTCGGGCTCAGCTTGGTCATCACTGGGTTTCTCAGGCTCAACGTCTCCGGAAGCTTCTGCTGGCGACGTAGCTTGACCATCAGTGGCAGTTGGCTCATTTGCCAGCTCTTTCGCTTCAAGATCTGAAACCGCAATCGGCGTCTCTGCTGGCGCTTCCTTTCCGGAAGCTTCCGCTGGCTCAGCTGTCGTGATGTCTGACTTTAATGGCCCAGGCTCGGTCCCCTCGACACTTTCAGGGGTTATTTCTTTGGAGAGTCCACTCTCATCCAGTTCCTCAACTGATGTTTTTGGTTTCGGTTCGTCGGCTACGTCCGGGGTTTCGGAAACGACCTCAGACATGGTCGTTGGAGCCTCAGGCTCTCCAGGTTCGATACCTTCAGCTTCAGGCTCTTCAGAGCTGGTGTCCGCTCCAAGGACCTGAGTAGTTGTTTCTGTCTCGGGTTGTTTGCTCTGCTCGGGTTCGTCTCCAGTGGACAGAGTTACTTCAGACTCCTCGGGGATATCAATTGGGGTATTCTCAGTGGAAGCCTGGGAAGAGCCAGCAGCCTCGGTAGGCTGACTGATTGCTACTGCCGCACTTTCTTCGTTGGCGAGCTTGAGCTCACACTCGGACAGCTCAGAACCGGGTTCATTGCTAGGAATGATTTCGTGCTCCTCGACAACATCAGGCCTAGGCTCTCCCACAACCTTCGAGTCGGGTCCGAATTCTTTGGTAGCGTTCTCTTCGTCCTCGACTTCAGGCTTGGTTTCGGCGGAGGAATCCTCGAGCTCAGTTGCCTGTGAACGAGATGCCGGCTGCTCAGTGCAAGCCAGATCAGGTACAGGTTCGAAACCAACCTCAAGAGGTTCGATTGAATCCTTTGGGTCCATAATTGCAGTTGTTTCCTCTTTCGAAAGCTCGGAATCAGCTGCCGGGTCAACCTCTGTGGTCTTGGTAGTAGCCTCTGCAGATGATGTTTCAGGGGGCACGCTTTCTTCTACAAGAGCAGAACTTTCCGGAGTGTCAGGATCAGCCGTCTTCTCCCCCTTTCCGAGCTCCGCCTTGGTGTCAGAGTCAGGATCTTCGTGCGGTTTATCAACTGGCCCGGGTTCGATGACGGAGGTTGTAGGCTCAGGGTCTTCTTCAGCAGGCTCAGACGCAATTTCGGGGGCGGCATCTGCATGGCTGGCAGCCGACTTGGCCTCCACGCTTGCGGCCTCTTCGACTATCGCCGGTGCATCCGAGCTCGGGTTTTCTTGCACGGGGACGTCTAGATTGGTCGCAGGGATAGGAGGGCTTTCAGAGTCGCCTTCGGCAGTCGCAGTTGTATTGGCGGTGACACCTGTGTCTACCATAACGTCTGTTGGTGCAATGCCTGTAGCGGTAACTGATACTGACTGAGGCTCCGATGTAGTCTCCTTAGACCTGGAAGTCTCGTCGCCTCTGTCTGAAGTTTCTGCTGCCCCGGCGACCGGCTCAACGATCTCTGGCTCAAGATCGGCCTCCGTGCTCTTCGTGGATTCGGATGTTAATGCTGCCAGCGTAGTCTTTGGGTTTTGTGCAAGTATTGATTCCGTGCAGCTCAGCTGCTTGCCGTCACTGGTGATCCCGTACAAAGCCAGGTCTTCATCCGAAATGTCATTGTTCATGGCGGGGACCAGATCTTGTGCTTGAGACTCGATAGTCAAGGGGGTAGCGATTTCTTCAATCTTGTTTCCTTGTTCTGTCGACTGGCAGTCCTTCTCCACCTCATCGCGGGAAGCGGCAGGTGTCTCAACAACCTGACTGTCCCCCACATCCTTTGACGGTGTGGTGTCGTCTGTTAAACTTGCTTTGTCGGCCAAGGGGGCCTCGGCAACCACGGCTGCAGGATTCTCGGAGGGTTCCAACTCCGATTTCGACTCTTCAGGCGAAGAGACATCTGGAGCGACACCCGCCAACTCGATGGGTTGGGTTTCGTCCGCTGTGACAGACTCTTGATCGGCTGGATTCTCCTGGATTTCTGTGATCTGTCCATCCAGTGCGTCGGCTTTTGCTGTGCTAGTACTCCGAACCTCCCCAGTATCCGTGTCAGTCTGAGCTGAAGAGGCGCCCAAGTCAGGCTGTCCCTTGTCAGCTGGCACCTGTTCAGCTACCTCAGGCGGCGCTTCAAGGGTTTTCTCCAAGACACCTTCGTCAGGTTGTTCAGTCATCTGGCCCGAGAGGCCAATCTCAGCAACACCCGACATGTTCGCGTCTGGGGATTGTATGAGAGTATCCTCATCAGCAAGGTTATCGTCGGGCAATGGCTCTGACGCTAGTGCTGCCGGTAGCACCTGAGGTGGTTCTCCGTCGCCTGCCTGTTGCTTCAATTCGACCGGTGTGCCGTCGGACGAAGTAGCTGCCTCGGTCGATTGCTCGTCACCGGCAGCGGTCGCTGTCTCGTCAGATTTGGTTGGAGAAGCGATGTCTGATGGGATAGCCTCGCTGACCAAGACTGCGGCTTCCTCGCTGGTAGCATGCTGTACGTCTTTGATTGGCTTGTCTTCATTTGGTGCTGTCACCGAATCATTATTACCTTCGAGCTCAGTAGGGACTGGTTCGGCTGAGGAGGTGTCAGCAAGAGGTGGGGAACTTGCATCCGCCTCAGGAGCATCCAACTCGTCGTTGGCTTCATCTTCTGGGTCGGAGGTTTGCTTTGAAGCAGTCTGAACTCCCTCGGCCGAGGCATCCGGTGCCACTTGTTTTCCTACGGGGTCTAGGGTGTCTTCGCCATCAGGACCCTTTGCGGTGCTTTCAGTGGCAGGCTTATCGTCAGGCTCCGCAGAAGACTCGACAGAGGGTCCAGCAGGAGTTCCGGCGACAAGCTCCGTGGCGGGCACATGGGTAGCCTCAGATGTAGGCTCGATAGTATTTTCAGTGACGGTCTCGGGAGTATCCTCCGTAGAACATGATGTAGAGGGCTCAACGGCAGATTCAGCAGCAGCCTCTGGGGCTGTCTCTGGAGAAGGCTCGACGGCGGACTCAGTAGCCGGTTCCGCGGTGGGCTCTGTTGAAGGCTCGGCAGTAGGTGCGGCAGTAGGCTCAATCGTATCTTTTGAAGACTCAATCGTATCTTTTGAAGACTCGGTAACCACTTCAGCGGCAGACTCGGTAGTGATCTCAGAGGCGGGTTCAGATGCCAACTCGGTAAGAGACGTAACAGGTGGTTCGGTGGCGATTTCCTCGGTAGAAGACTCGATTGCAGGAACATCAGTAGATTCTGTAACATGTTCTGCACTGCTTTCGGCTTGAGTTTTTGCAGGCTTAACAACTGCCTCGGTAACATTCTCAAGGGCGGGCTCAGGAGCAGATCCAACAGCTGGGTCCGTGGCTGGCTCATTGGCAGACTCGACGGCAGGTCCAGCGGCAGGTTCAGTAGCTGGCTCGGCGGTGGGCTCAGTAGATGACTCGACTACTAGCTCGGCATTTGGTTCAGACGCTGGTTTAGCATCTGGCTCAATGACAGACTCGTCATTTGGCTCAACAGCAAGCTTGGTGGCGGGTTCCTCAGCAGGCTCAAGAGATGACTCGACAGCGGATTCAGCAGGTGGCTCGGCCGCAGGCTCAGTAGCTGACTCAGAAGCTGGCTCGGCAGCTGGCACGACCGCAGGATCAACGGTAGACTCGGCAGCAGGTCCAGAAGCTGGCTCAGCAGTTGATTCAGGAGCTGAATCTACAGCTGTTTCAGCAGCTGGTATGACTGCAGGCGCAGCGTCAGGCTCAGGAGCTAGCTCAACGGCAGACCCAGCAGCAGATTCAGAAGCTGGCTCGGCCGTGGGTTCTGCAGTAGGTTCGGCGGGAGGTTCGGGAGATAGCTCAACGGCAGGCTCAGCAACAGATGCAGAGACTGGCTCGATCGCAGGCTCGGCAGCTTCAGCGGCAGCTTTAGGGGCTGGCTCAGCGGCAGGCTCAGTAATAGATTCAGAAGCTGTCTCAAGCGTAGGTTCTGCAGCAGGTTCGGCGGGAGGTTTGGCGGCAGGTTCAGGAGAGAGCTCAACGGCAGGCTCAGCAATAGATTCAGAAGCTGGCTCGACCGCAGGCTCGGCAGCTTCAGCAACAGATTCAGATGCTGGCTCGACCGCAGGCTCGGCAGATTCAGGGGCAGGCTCAGCAATAGATTCAGAAGCTGGCTCGACTGCAGACGCAGTGGCAGGTCCGGCGGCAGGTTCGGCAGGAGGTTCAGCGGCAGCTTCAGGGGCTGGCTCGGCAGCAGAATTAGAAGCTGGTTCGACCGCAGGCTCAGCAGATGCGGCAGGAGATTTGTCGGCAGGTTCAGGGGCAGGCTCAACGGCAGGCTCAACGGCAGGCTCAGAAGAAGATTCCGAAGCTGGCTCGACCGCAGCTTCAGCGGTAGGTTCGGCGGCAGGCTCAGTAGCTAGCTCAAGGGCAGACTCGGCAGCAGATTCGACAGCTGGCTCGGCCGCAGACGTAGTGGCAGGTTCAGCGGGAGTTTCAGTGGGAGGCTCAGCGGGAGGTTCGGCAGCAGCTTCAGGAGCTGGCTCAACGGCAGACTCCAGTGCTGGCTCGACAGCAGGCTCGGTGTTAGGTTCAGTGCCAGCCTCGACTGCAGGCGGGGCGGTATCGTTGGACGCAACTTCCACAACCAACTCTGGAGCGGCTAGCTCTTCTGATGGTTTCGGATTGCTGTGATCATCTGCTGGAGCGGCCGGGTCGTCGTTTTTCGCTTCTTCAACAACCAGCGCCTCCGATGACGGCTCCTGTTCCTGTGCAAGGGCAGCCTCAGCTGGCGGTGCAGGCTCTTCGCTCACAGCGACAGCCACAGGGGCGAGCGTTTCCGAGGCGCCTGAAGCGGCCTTATCATCAACAGCCGATGACTTCTCAGGAGCGGCGGTCGCCTCGTCGTTGGCTGCCTCGTCGACTGAGGGTTCCTTGTCGGCCTCTACCGTCTCGTTCCCAGACACTGATGGAGGGTGCGATGGGGCTTCGTCCAGAACTGGGGCATCGGCGACTGCTTCCTCCTTAACTTCCGTTGTAGCGGGAGGCTCATCTTCAGCAGCCTTTGCATCGTCATCTCCAGCCGGAGAGGCGGGAGGCTCATCTTCAGCAGCCTTTGCATCGTCATCTCCAGCCGGAGAGGCCGAAGGAGAAGGCTCAGCCACCTCTGGAGTTGTTTCAGTATCTGGTACATCTGGCAGTGAGGATGGCTCTGCGGCAGGTGCGGACAGAGACTTGTCGGCAGTGTCAGCCTCGTGCTCAGCATCGTCATTCTTCCCTTTGCTTTTCTTCTTATCCTTCTTCTTGTCTTTCTTTTCCTTCTTGTCCTTCGCCTTCTGCGCCTTGGTCTTAGGAGCGGATATCTCCTCTTCGACGACTTGCTCGTTAGGCGCTTCAGCTGCTGGAGGCGCGATGACGACTTTCTCCTCGACAGCGTCAGAATCTTTGTCCTTTCCTGCCTTCGATTTCTTCTTGTCCTTCTTCTTTTTGGATTTAGTCGTCGACACTGGTTCTTCTTCTGCATCGATGGTTGTTGGCTCTGGTGCCGTGGGCTCCTCCACAGGCAGTGCTGGAGCTGGTGTCTGCTGCGTCTTCTTGCTCTTCTTCTTTGACTTTGGCTGCGAACCCCACTCCTCGTCTGGATCTACGATGTCCTGGGTAGGCGCTGGCGCGTCGTTTGGCGGAGATGGTAGAGGTGAAGGAGCACGCGCCTTCTTGCTCTTTTTCTTTGCCTTCTTGCTGGAAGACGTTAGAGTTGGCGGTGGCTGCTGTGTTGCGCGTGGACCATGAGGCCCTTCGTCCTCATCTGTGCGATGTGTGAGAGATACTTCAGGATTCACATTTCGACGCAGGAGACTCACAGTTCTGCTGGTTGTCATTCTCTGATTCCGAAAACTCATAGTACCGTACGTTGGAGTAGTCCGCCGTATTGACCTCACCATATCCAGCACTTGTCCTATAGGGGCAGTACTGGACTTCGTCTTGGGGTTCCATTGTTCTTCTGCCTCACCCGAACAAGCGAGAGAGAAGATGGACGAGTCGCTCTGCTACCAAACGACTGCTCCAGGAAGCTCTTTTCACGAAGAGTCAGGACCAATGGTTGGAGAGAAGCCAAGGAAAGATGGAGGCTTGGGCCTCGAAGTTTGGTATTGGGAATGTAGCTTCGCTTCACAAACAACGCTGATGACGAAACCAGGAAGACGCCGTATCCGATGAACCGTAAAGCAGAGCGAGAGTGGCGTATGTTTACAGTGAGACCAGCGGCTCTGTGGTGGTCGAGTATTTGGGAGACAGAACCTGATGTGAGGTCATGGAAAGGCAGACAGGCGAGGGTTGGGGATGCTGGTTCAAGGCGGGACATGAACGAAAAATACCCAGGCAGGGATCAGCTTCCATTGTCACAAGCATTATCATCATATGGGGCATGCCAGGTCTCCATCGAGGCCGAGTACCTGAGAGTAGGGTACGCCAGGTGCTCCCATGCCCCGAAGTACACGCTACCTCGCAGTGGCAGAGGCAGACGACCCCACGTCCCCACGAGGGGATCCGTCTGCGACTCAGTGTGCAAGGACAGGAACCACTGTCGTGCTCGAGGCTCATTGGCGCCACGTCGGCCTTGGATTGGGGGTTTGGGGCAGCATATGCTAGACCGGGAGGGTCGAGAGGACAGGCGCGGGATGCCGGCCTGCGTGTAAAGACTTAACGGCAGGCGCCATGTTTGGTGCGAATTGGGTACATCCCACTGCTGAAAAACGGGACGGACTGACTGGTATTGCGGCCCAACGACGCGAATGCCCGGCAGCAGCAGGCCGCAAGGTAAGAGACAGTGGCGCCCGGCGTTTGACTCTCAACAGACAATGGCCCGTGAGTAACCAACACCAGCAGCAGTTGCAGATGGGCCGGGATCGGGCCAGGGGCCAGTACTGTGGCTTGGGATGTCCTGGGTAACCAGACTTGCCAGACTACCACACACAACACCAAGCGGGCTTGTGGGGGGCTCATTATGGGCCAGCTATGTATGGGTGGGCGTTGTCCTCCGGGCTGGAACGTGCGTGTACCTCATATGCGTGTTTTCTGATCGCAGACAGGGAACAACGGGAGGATGAGCGGCTGGGCCGCAGGGGGAGCAACAGGTGCATCCATGTTGTGGTGGTGGTGGTGGTCAGGCCAGAAAATGGAGCGCAAGCGACCGATCAGGAGTAGGGCCAGACCTTTGCATGTTGAGATGGTGGGCAAGGGAAATGCCGCGGGTACATGCGGTCGAGGGTCAAGAGACTGTACTGTACCAGAAGCAGGAAAACGACGGATGGGACAAGATGCGATTCTGCAGGAGAAACAATCAGTGGAGTCAAGTGACAAGGATTCGAGCCTCCACGATGTCGTTGATGAGTGGACCGTGGAACCGACGTGCAACGTGGCTCGCCTCCGAAAGCACCGCCTGTGATGAATTCGAGCTGGCGAACTGCTATTGGACGAGTCAAGCCTGTCAAAAGCAGTCCGGCTGCGGGCCGTGATAGACGCGGTCGAGTGGGCTAAGAAGATCGGAACCAGCAAGTCGAAAGGAGCGAAGTGAGGCTTCAAAATTCGTCTCGTTCCTCCTGCCATCCACCCACCACCAGATTCTCAGGTTGGTGAATAAGGTCTTGCACGATTCTGATGAAAGCCTTCGCAGCACTCTGGCTGCTTGTAGCTCTGGCTGCTTGTAGAGGCTGCCATGTCACACCTAGGTGGTTGGGCGAAAGTTGCGAGCTGGCAGCCCTGGTGTGACCTGGTATGATTCATGTAGTCGAATCACGTCAGGCCTCGCTGCGCGCTGCAATGCAAGGCACCTCTGTCGGCCTGTTATGCTCGTTGTACCTTGTGCTGCACGAACCCGACTTGGGCTGGGGAGGCATGCCGCCGGCCAGCTACCTTTAGTTTCGGAGCCATGGTGTCCAGTCTCCTCACCTCCTCTCTTGGTCTATCATTGGGCCGAAAATGCTGGGAGAGGAGGGATCAGGCTGATGGATGGGTGGGTGGTGATGTGTTTTGGTGGGGGTTGGTGAAGTGGCAGAGGACATGACCAGCCTCGCCTTTGCCCGCCCTTACTCGCCTTGCTTTGTGTCAGGTGCCTAAGGTACCCGTACATCACTGTCTACCGCCCGCCTTGGGTACCTGCCTACCTCCCTCTCTACCTAACCGCCAGTTCATGTCGCTGCCTTACCTGACCTACCTAGGTAGGTAGGTAGGTACCTTACCTAAGGTAGGTGATTGGAGGGCATATTGGTAAGGTAAGGTACCTAGGTACCGAAAACAGGTAAGATCCCACGAGGGCAGCGAGTTCACCCTTGAGCACAGCACTCAAGAAGACGCGGCGGGCGACCTGACAGCGATGGGAGTTCGGTGGAGTCCAAGGCTCACCTTCGGTCTGACATCACACCGCTGACGCATAATCAACACGGCCAGCCTCATTTCTTTCAATTGCGGTTGACCCATCTCTAGCGAAGAACTAAGACCATAAAATCCATGCTACAGCCGTGCTCAACATCCCTACTCATATAGCCTCCAGGAGGGACCCTGCAGAGCAGCGGTGAAGGCACACCGGGCCACAGGTCGAGCCGAGAACGAGAATGTGGCACCCAAAGCTTTGGGACGCGGTAACCCGAACGGCCGGACAAAGCTGCACACCATAAGGTGTCGGCATTGATCGATTCGAATGGTATTAGTCGTGTGCTAGCATTTCCCATTCCAGTAGGACCGTCTGAGAAAAGAGCAGTGACGCGAAGGGGGCACTATGAACTCCTTCCTCCATCATCTTCCGCCGTGCCTCCGTTGCGTTGCAAACCAACATGTTCCTGAGCTCAACTGAAAATTCCAAAACGCCGACGCCCAGACTCAAGAGCAATATGCTACCACAGACACAAGCGGATCGGCGTTGCCAAGCTTGCACCGCGTGCTCATCCGCAAAGCCGTATCGAAATCAGTAGTACGTGACGCGCCTGGTACGCCGTGCTGCTCGCCCCCACCCTTCACATGGCCATCTCGGCCTGTAGTTTTCGAAGCTCGGCTTCTTCCTCCGACTCCTGCGGTACAGCCTTGCCCTTGACTATGCGAGTTGTGTCAGCTGTTTGCCCAGAACGTACTTAAAACACTCCGGGGTAGGCTCACGTTCTCCGTTTGCTGCCGACGGCAGGTCTTTGATCTTGTCCGAAACAGGCACCGAGCCAGTGTTGAGCATCGCTTCGTCCAATTGCGCTTCCTGCAGCGCTTCAAGTTCTGCTTCGAGGTCCTCGTCCTCGAGCTGACCTGCCGGCGCGGCCATAGCCTGAGAAATCTCGTCGTTCATAGCACTCTGCTCGCGAATGCTCTCCCTACAAGTAGGTCAGTTGCACAGTCCTCCAGCGGTGTTCTCTCCACTGATCGGTCACATACATCATATCGTCGACCTTCTCCACCGAGATGCCTGCTCCAATCTGCTTCATAGCCTCGTTGATGGCCTTGGTCTGGCGGTACTGCTCCTGGTTGAGGTTCGCCATATCGAGGGCCGACTGCTGTGTTTCCATGGCCATCCTGGCCGCATATGTCTGATCGTATTCCTTCTGCTTGAGATTCTTGCGCTTCAATATCCGGAGGGCCTCTGTTTCGGAGGGACATGGGGTTAGCGACTGGGCCCCAACGACGCGACGCCGGGTTCCATCATCTCTTACCGTTCCTGTTCTTTCCTACGACGGCCTTTGCATCGGCTTCCAGCTGATCGATCTGCTGCTGAAGATGCGTCTCCTTCTTTTGCAGCATATCAACATGGCTCTTCATCGCCAGTACCGTTTCCTTGACTTTGGCCTGCTTCTGCTTCTGGTTGGAGCCACCGCCCCACCAGGACATCCAGCTGGCCATGATGATAGGACTTGGTGCTTGTGTAGAGCGAGGGTGCAGTTGCGCAGGATACTGCGCGAGATGACCAAGGTTGTCTGGCTGTTGGCGGGGTTGGCTGGATGACCCACAGTCGCTGGAATCGTGGGGCCAAGGGAAGCGTTCAGACGGTGACGGTGCTTATCCGACGGATGCTTGGGTGTAAGTCCAAGTCGCGGGACTCGACTTTCGTTGTTCGATCCGATATTGATTCCGAGGCTCGTGGAATGACAGTTGGCTGCCTGAATGGAGGGCGGGCGGAAGATAAGTGCAGGTTGATCGGTTGAGGGCGGGTATGATGCAACCTGATGTGGAAGCCAGCCCGTCCGCATGACTGGTCTTTTTGCCGCAGCCTGTTGGAACCAGGTGGGGCATGTGTATACCGAAATTCTGCCGCCGACCGGATCAGCTGATAAGGTGTCAATGGACATCATTGGCTAGATTCATTGCTGAATCAGCGTCCTTGAGACCTTAATGGTCACCCGAAGCCATGAAGGTATCGCCAGATGCCCAATGTTGGTCACAATAACGGGCTTGAGGCGGCATATGCACTCTTCGTAGAGACTGGTTCGCGTCATCCAGCATGAAACCGAGGTCACAAATAGCTCCATTATGTCTAGAGGGCCTCTTCCTTCCCAAATTTGTTTACTCGCAGACTTGTCTGTGAAGTCTCCTGGCGATAAAGTCAGATTCTTAGGCTGGTGCGTTCATGGCGCGACTTCTGTCGCTGCTTTCTATCTCTAGAATCAATCCAGAGACTCAGTGTCCTCATTCTGACTCAACTCAGCGTAACCGCATACACGGTTGCTACAGCGACTCTGGTCCTGTGCCACAGCTTCCCTTCAGGCACTGACACTGCCGCACACGTCGATGTCAAGCTTGTTCTTGAGTCCCTCACTGGCGAACAGGTGAGAATCGGCGAGTGGGTCAACATTATTGGTTACATCACATCAAAAGTCCTCAAGGATGCATCTCAATATGCCCATCAGCCTACTTCAAGTCGAAACGAGGTATCCGTTCAGGCACTTCTTCTATGGTCTGCCGGCCCAATGCAGGTTCAACGATATGAAGAATTGCTTTCAAGCAACAAAAAATATGCTGCCTAATCGCATCATTCAGTATCTTGGTGATTCTCAACAATTCGAAAAGGACTTCTGATCTGTCTGCCGCTGAAAGTACGAAAAGCGTCACCCGCGTATCATGGACTTCAAACAGTCATTCGCATCACTACATCACCACGTGTTACCCATTCAATTCGAAGAAAGAGATTATGGCATTTGGGCGCTCGAATTTCAGCTTTCACCCTCATACCAGCGCATTTATTGAGGATTATACCGAAGGAGTGCAATGAAAGAAGACAGCAGCAGCACACTGCCTCCACGACCAGACTCGTGAGAAGCAGGCCATGATCGATGAGCCAAACTCTGGAATTATGTGTGCTTTGCATGCGTATGGCAATCAACCTACGTACTGAATGAGGATTCTCGGCCGAGGTCTCTCCTGAATTTCCACAGGCCTTTCTCCACGTTACGAGCTTGCTCGCAAGGATTTCTACATCTCCATGACCCGCAACCATCGAGAATCACATCGGCTTGTTGAGCTGCGTGCTTGTCGATTACGAAGCCGGTCTCTGGAACTCCACACGGAAATTATCACTCATCGATTAGTGCTGACCTCGCAGTGAGAGGACACCAACAATTACCCTTTCTCACAAGCTTACGGCACCGTCAGCCACTTCATCAACGCCAGTTATTGCCCCCCTCTGATATAACGGTATCGGATATGCAGTCATGGTCACGATTCGAGTCTGCCACGAGAATGAATTTCGTTATCGCCAACGCTCCTCGTGCCTCCGTTGTCCCTCGTAGGGCCTTCGATCATCCTGCCTTCTCCGCGAAGGCTCGGAAGAACCCCTGGATATGACAACTGGCTGGTGCAGAGGACGCTTGAGAGGTTTATCGGTGTCCTGTGACTTGGCGGCGGCTTGTCGTTCCCACATGTCCCTGGATTTCGTGCAGATATCGTCAATCTGCTCCTAGTCAGGCAGATCGGCATGAGTCAAGGGCTTGGTGTCTCGCTGTAGTGGAACGGAGCAACATCAAGGCTCACATCTGTCAGGCACGGGCCTGGTGTGGTGATCAGGAAGCCATCTTCCCCCTGGTAAATCGTCAGAGATGCTTTACCTGTGGATTCGACGGCCCGCCATACCTCATTAGTGTACGCTCGCACTGTTGCTTCAGGGCCCAGGAAGTACGGGAGTTGTTGGACAATAATGCTTTTGTGGATATCCAGCCGGGGAATCCAGTATCGATTCATTTCGAACGCTCAGACCAAAGGTGAAAACGAGGCGTCAACATAACAGGACACGGTTCACTTGAGAGACGTGTGAACGCAGGGCAGAGCATACCGTACGCCATCCCAACAACGTCGAACGACAGGACGAGCGAGTAGATATTTATCGCAGCGTTGCCTTCGCCGAGAGCAACCCACGACTCACCCACTTGAGGACACAATCCTAGGCCGCCTCAGCTGCTGCTGCACATACGACGCATCTTTGCGCAACACCAAATAACATTGGGGGGTGGGAAGCCTTGTTCCATTTGGTCCTGCGAGTCTCACCGCCTGCCTGACCCTGTGGTGTTCATGGGTGCATGGACTTCTGGCTTGCATCGAAAAAAGCATATCCATACAGAGTTGACCAGATGTGGACCCTGTTCCGACGCCTACTCCTGTTGAGACTGCACGCTGCTGCAGTCACCGGTAAAGTGAGGCGAACGGCGTCACTCACCTTGCCAATCATGCCCTTCATAACCATTCGCCTCATCATGGGTCGGCCTCCGGATTTCTTCTATCACGCGGGTTGCCGCCAAATCCTTCTTCTTGGGAATAATGGGCGTCGCTGATTGCGACACAGCGCCCGATTAAAGCAGCGTTCCGCCTGTGCTGCAGAGATGAAGACCTGGATCCTGCAACCTGCATGAATGCGCCCAATTCAAGTCCATGGTCCGCGAAGTCAGGGCGACGGTTATACCCCACCTGCCTTCCGTATGCAGGGGTTCTTTATCTCACAAACGCAAGACGTTGTCAGTTCATGATGCATCGATGGCGGGTTAGGTGATCAGACAGGGGGCATGATATCACTCCGCCGTCTCCCTGTGCCTTCAGCTCACGGCCGAGCATGTAAATATGACGACAAGCAAGTATTACAAGGCTGCCAGTAAACCAGCCAAGCATCGGCATCGATTTGTGGCGTGCACAAGAGGTCATCATGTCGTCTTGTCAAACACCCCCTCGACGCGGAAGCCATGATGTGTCAAGGCACTTCCTCGACGCTGCATTTTTACACGTAACCTCCCAGCCCCCTCTTGCCTCGAGTAAAACACTATGCGCGCAAATTTCGGCTGATTTGGGGGTTCGATGCTGTTGACAACGTCAGCGATGGATCATCACGACAGACCATCACCGGCCCCGAAGAGTTCTGCCTTGGGCGTGTCAGCCGAAAGGTCAAAGGATCAGAGGTGCCGACTAAGTTTAGAGATGCAGTGATGTCTCTTGGTCTTTGCATTACACACCATCACAGTATTTGGCTTGCATCACGATGTTTACATCACGTGCGGACTTGACGTCGTCACATCTGGTCATGATTAGGCCATTGCACCACTCCTACCCAATCAGTGTGTCCACAAGCCTTTTGCGCCTGAGCCATTTCCAAGTATCTGTCATGGCTTCAGGAACTTGCTGATGAGCATGGCGCTTGTTTGGTGAGAGATTAGCCCAAGTGGCATCACCAGGCTTCTGGTAGATAGTTGCTCAACCGTGTCCTCCCCTCGGGCATTAGGTGCATGACTGCCTCGTCACGCTCTGTTTAGACCAAGAGTTGGGATTATCCGGCTGGGATTGTTCCAGAACCACGTGTGCACTCCTCACTCCACACTGGTATCTGCCTGGTGCTGTTCTAAGGAAGTCCGCACTGCCATGTGGCCAACGACTTAAGAGCAATGAGTATATCAATCTTGTAGTACACCTAAGTGGGCGTTGTATCAGCACCCAGATTCGATGAGCTCAAAGACTTCTTGACCTGCTTGCTCTGAGTCGTTTCTTGTCATCTGGTCTGCAGCCTCGCACAACAATCGCCAAGGCAAAGGTGTGCAATGGTAATATCTCCTGCTCTCCGTCTTGAGAGTGTAACTCTGGATGTTTCTAATATCAGTACTGGCTAACGGACCACAAAATTTCAAAACACAACGATCCTACGGAAGTGATCCAACTTTTGACTGGACTCTCTGTCGTCACCGTGAGCCGGACCTTGTCATATCTTTTGGCTCACACTTTAGACATGCTATGACTGTGGTCCACCACAAATGCAATTTTTACGAACAACATCATTTCCATGGACGTTGCACCACAGAATAAAGAGCTGTTGCTCCAATTGTGACGGCTGTTTCTCCAACCGACCAATCTGGGCCTGGGCACTCCTCGATTCGGACAGCCCGCCGTCTCCGACTCCCAAACAGGCAACAGGTGATCATTGAATAGCGACAATGCCACCCACTGATTTTCGGCAGATTCCATTTAGTGTCTTGGAGTTTCTCTGGCCTCTGATTTGATGCCTGTATCGTTGTCACTATCTGGATCAGTGGCATTATCCTGGTCCATAGTCGCATTGTCGTTTGCGTGGGACTTCACCCATAGTGCTCGTCAATCCGGCGTCTTCTGCCTAAGATCGTGCGGGCACAGTTTGATGGCAGCTCTGATGGTCAGTATATCTATAATGACATGGTAGCCTTGTTGCTCACGAAGCCATCACAATGCCGCGGGGAAGTGCTTCCAGTCCATATCACCAACAGCAGCAACAACCAAGACAAAGCTCGCCATGCGCGCCACAACGTATCTCGCTGTGGCTCTTGCTGCCACTGCAGCAACCGCTCAGACAACGACAAGGCCGATCGTCACTGTCTGGGTCACCGAATGGACAACACAGACATCTACTGTCACCAATGTTCAAACCGTTTGGCGAACTGTCACCACATGGGTCTCCGCACGCACAACATCAACAGCGTCCTCTACCCGATCCACGACGAGTCCACCTGTACTGCCTCCAACCACGCCGCCTCCTGCGCAGCCGACGCAGACGCTCTACGGCCAATGTGGTGGAAACAACTACAGCGGGGCAACACGGTGCGTCGCAGGCTCGTCTTGTCGGGTGCTGAACGAGTGGTACCACCAGTGTCTTCCCTGATGTCTCCGCGGTTGCAATCAATGGCTTGTCGTACTTGGATGCGACGTGAATACTGGTTTGCCAATTCATTTGGGGTATCGTCAGCATCGACGGGCGAGGATCGGCATGCGTCGAAATGTCCTACTTCTCCTGGGGGTATTTTCTTTTTGAAGAGGTCAGTTGCGGACTGGAATCCCCCTTGTACATAGCACCTATAGCAGGTAGAGAGGCGGGGACATTTCAACGCGATGGCAAAATTGATGTTTGCTTCCACAACGATTGCCAAGGTCAGTTCCTGATCATAGTTTTTCCGGTTGGCCAAAGTTGTGAATCCACGTCGGAAACAGGATGGCTTCTTGCCAAGAAACATAAAGAATGTAGACGAAAGCTCGCTTTCTGCTTCCGAGGATCGTGGTCTCGGCCCTTGCGCTTCCTCTGGAAATCATGTCTTCAGTGTCCGATTGTGATGATGTGAGATGTTGCTGTAACAGACTTGCCCAGGCGCGCGCTATGGCCATGGTCACCTTGATCAAAAGTGGTACACTCCTGCTTACTAATCCACGAGCCACAATCCGCAGCTACAAAATTTTTCTGAACCTGCACGCTCCGTTACTAAAACTTCTTCCTTCGCCCACAGCCTGCTAGTTTTCGTTACCAACAGCAAGGCAGAGCAAGGCGCGCAACATTGCTGAAAGCCGGATGTGCTACGGACGTGTGATCATCTTGGAGTGAGTTCATCACGAATGGCCGACTCGACTGCGCAGACGGAGTCCATTATCTCATGGACATGACCTCTGCTTCGAGTCGGCTTTCAAAAGAATGGTACGTTCCAACCTCTCCTATCTTCACATCATTCCCGTGTCACCTGATGAGACAAATATGTTACACAGTCTATGAAATCTATTTATGATTATCTTCCATATCACACTGAAAATCCTGAAATGTCACCTTAACACCAGTTTTCATCGACAGAATCGAGTGCTGGAATACTTTGGCTGACACGCATAACAGAAACATTTACTACATGAAAGGCGGAAGCGGACATCTGGTTCGCAACCGAAGCTCGAGGCCTACAATGCCGTGTCAGGCGCGGGGGATATGTCCATGATATTCCACCGTGTCTGTAGCGCTGAAGCCTTGGGCAAGTGTCGAGAGGCACTGGTAGAGCAAGTCGTGAGACTTGTACATAGCCTAATAAGATTTGATCAATTGTCCATCTGAATCATCTATTGTGACTGCATGAGCTCCTCTCGGAGCTAACTGAAGTATAGCTTAGTAACTTAAGAAGAGCCGTTCTTGATCTGTCATGCTAAGGGACTTGGGGCGAAATGCCTGAAATCGCTATAGGGTTGGGCAAGAATGTTTGCGTAGAAAGTTGAAACGGGGTCTCGCCCGCGCCATCGTGCATCCATGCGAGGAAAATCGGCAATCGACGAAGCCAGGAGAGGCAAGGTATTTTCTCGTCCTCCCAGTTTCTCGGCCCTGACAGGGATCTAGGTACGCAAAACGAATAGCCTGATTACCTCAGCGCAACTGAAAGTTGGTCGCCTGGAATGGTGGATAGATGACGTACCAACTTGGAAGCGGGGTGCTTGGGCATTAGTCTTGCTCCCGCACTTGTAAGTCTCTGCGCCGGCGGCCTAGCTCTTCGGCAGCGATCTCCATCTTAGAGAAAGCATTGTTCAAGTCGTTTTCGCTTCCGCTTTTACTTCGCGTTAACAAAGGAGTGGCGTGGGGACATCTCACACACATAGTCAGGTGCTATCCACCACCTCGCGAGCCTTCTCCCGTGGTCCCGTGGGACGGTAGTGCGCAGCGGCGGGGTCATTCGCAGCCAGGTGCAGACCTCTCAGCGGTGCCGGCCCCCCACCATATGCACGTCGGACGGCCCCAAGGTAGGTAATCAGCGAGCTCGAGGCAGCCTGGTCGCTCAGGAATAGCACCAGTGGTTTGTTATGTGGCTCGGGCGGCTGCGTGTGGTGAATTTTCCCACTATTACAAGCCCAACAGGAGCATCGTGTGGTTCAGCAGACCAAGCTTTGTCAGGGGCAGAACAAGGAAGAACCCTCCAGCGACGTTGGGCCACTCACCGAAGAAGTCAAGCTAGAAGGCTGGAAAGACCAAGGCTAGGCCTTGGGCAGGGCACGCAAAGGGGGGGAAGGGGCAACGGCCAAGGGGAGGGAGGGACGGTGTCGTCAGTGGCCGCCGCTTCCCAGCCCGATGCGCCCGGAACACAAGCAAGACACACGCCCCCCCTGTCCAATGGAATCCTCCACGGCCCCCCTCCTCTGTCCTGGCCCCCATGGCACCCCCTCCCCAGCTCAAGTGTTGTAAGCCCAACAGTTGAGCCATTGCCGCATCTCTCTGACAGGAGAATGACTCCCCAGCCATCCTGAAATCCCCTCCTCTCTTCGACTCGTTCCATACGCCAGCGTTGTTGCATCTTTCATCCTTGCTTGTCTTTATCGCCTTCGCCCCAAAGCAACCGCCCTGTTTGCACCTCTCTGTACAACCGAATACCACGCCAGAGCCAGTCTTCCGTTTGATATTCTGTACGCACTACTTTGATCAATCTGAGGGCCATGGCCTACCGGGAAACGTCCCGAGTCTACCATGACGACGACGACTTTTACGATGAAGATGCCTACCGAACCACCACCGTTCGTCGGTACAAGGTGACGCCAAGCAGAGTCGGTCGCGTCGACGCCGACGATGACAACCGTCGCTCCCACTATTCCTATTATCCTGCCCGAAACTCTGGCGACCTTTTGCCCCTAGACACCCGCGACCGCGACCGTGCTTACGCCCCCGATCGACCCCGCTCTGCATTTGAGCCTCGGGATGACCTCGATCGATTCCGCGACAGAGACCGTGACAGCTTCCGAGATGGCCGGACAGTGGTCTACGAACGGGAGCGCGAGGTCGAGCGCGAGAGGGATCCGCACTCTGCCCGTGATTGGGATCGCCGTTCCCATGCACCATGGGATAACCAAGACGCAGAGACGGAGGTGCGTGTTGATAAGCGCGTCGAGCGTCGGGATGATGGCGAGATCAAGGTCGAAAGACGCATCGAGGAGCGCCGTGAAGATCAGACAGGTCACGGCGGCCCTGAGATCGAGAGATACCGGAAGGAAACCGAATACTACGCCCCTCTGAGTCCGCCACCCGTTCCCCAGGCACCTGTTGTCATTCAGCGCCCCGCACCCGAGCCGCAGAAAATTATCGTTCAAGAGGCGCCACCGCCTGCGCCTGTCATCCTGCAACAACGCGAGAGCCCCGGCGTCATGGTGGTCCGTGAGCGGGAGCAACCCCGTGAAATAGCCCGCCGGGAACCTCGCGATGACGAGTACTATTATCGTCGTGAGACCAGGGACCTTGGCCCCTACCGTCGCGATGAGCGAGAGTACGCTATGGAACGACGAGACCACCGCGATCGTGAATATGACAGGGGCTACGGGAGCGGCGACGAGGAGTACTGGGTTAGGAGGAAAACCATCATCAAGGAGCGCTCACCGAGCCCAGACACTCACCGCCGCCATCTCGCAGGAGGCGCCTTGGCTGGCGCTGGAGTCGCTGCCCTCTTGGCTAGTCGACGCGACGATCACGGCGAGATCGCCCCGAACCGTGGTCGTAAGGTCCTGGCGGGCGCCGCTCTGGGAGGTCTCGGCACCGAAGTCTTCAAACGAGCACGCAGCGCGTATGATGAGCGATATGGCGACAATCGATCCCGCTCTCGCCATCGCCATGAAGACAGATACGACCCACGATACGACGACCCGCGATACGACGACCGCCGGTATGATGATCGACGATATGATGACCGTTATCGGTCGCGAAGCAGATCATCCTCCCGATCCAAGATCAAGACGGGCCTAGGCGTCGCCGCCGCTGCCCTGGCCATTGCAGGTGCTGCTAAGTACTACCAAAACCAGAAAATTGACAAAGAGGAGGCCAGTCGCGGACGTAGCCGTACACGTAACCGTAGCTACTCGTCTTCCAGATCACGAAGCGCGCGCAAAAAGAGCCGCAGCAAGTCTGTTGCCAAGGCGGCGGCTGCCACTGCTGCTGCGACTGGTTTGATCCAGCACTTCCGCAACAAGTCGGGCTCGCGAAGCAGGTCACGGTCCAAATCACGAATCCGGCAAGGCGCAGAGGTCGTCGCTGCAGGTCTCGCAGGTGGCGCCGCGAGCAAGCTGTGGCACAGTCGCAAGGATAAGAAGGAGGCTAAGGAACGGGAGCTGAGCGATGAAGAGTACGAAGAAGAGCAACGTCGTCGAGACCGGGCCGCTCGTCGTCGGTCTCGTAGCAGGTCACAGGCCAGATCCCTCTACTCCGAGCCGCGAACTGATGGCCCGATAGGTCTGGTTGAGTACGGCACCGACCCACTCCCTCCTTCGCAGCCCCCCTATCCGACCAACGATTACGGCTACGAGTCGGCTTCAAGCCAGCGGAGGCGGCGACGCTCACGAGGTCGCGGTGCCGACGATTATTCTCCTTCCGGATCGGATACGGGTAAGAAGCGCAGCCGCAGCCGGATAAGAGACATGGCGGCAGCCGCTGTCGGTACAGGCGCCGCGGCCATCGGCATTAAGGAGTACAAGAAGAAGAAGGATGCGGAGAAGGAGAGGGAGGATGAAGCCGCTCGCAGGGCGCGAGAAAGGTCTCTTTCTAGAGACTACTCTCGAGACCGCTCACGAAGGCGAGACGAAGGTCGCAGACGTATGCATGATCCTAATTTCTACCAGCCCTCACCTTGTGGCGCTGCACCATGATGTACTGACACGCTCACAGGTTACGAAGAAGAATCGAACCCCAATCCGCACTACGACGACTACAGCCGTCCTCCATCTCCACCACATGCTTCAGGTGGTGCCTATTACCCTACGCCCACCGGATCTGGGTTTTCTCAGAACCAGTCTGTCAATGACCCGTACCCGCCTTACAGCCCCCATGCGTACACTGGATTCCCGCCTCCACAGCCGGGCGGGCCACCAACTGCTTCAGGAGCTGCGGGAGGCTTCCCAACGCCAACCCCAGGCGGACCTCCATTGTCGTACCAAGGCGGGCCTCCCCCCATCGGCGGTGGCCCACCCCCAGCAGGCGGCAGACTTGGCCCCGATCATGTGAGTGATGACACATTTCACACCACCACTCCCAAAGACTCAGTCTCCCGAAATGCGGCGCCGCCGATTGCCACGCGTGAGGGTGCGTCGATCTAAGTGCAATGCTGCCGTGTTGTTTCGCGTGATTTAGCACTGCATATCACCTGTCCGTTCCTGCGCTGACTTTTCCCGCAGATGGTTTGAGGGGGCAGTCGCCTCGGCGACGAGAAAGACGGTCGGCGTCAATTTCATCGTCCCCGGAAGCGATGAGGTCTGCGGACGCAATGTCTATGGGTGCGTCCACATCTGCTACGAAATCCGTCACATGGGGTCCCTTGTCGCCTAAGTCATCTTTCACGCTGGAACGACATCGACAAGTCCACGAGCAGCAACTCGAAGAGTCTACTACAGACAGTGTCGAGGAAGGGTTTGAGCCACCAGTACTCAGCGAGGCACAGCTGGCAGCTCTTCGTCCAGTTCCTTTGCGACGACGCTCTTCAGATCCCACCCCAAACCGGCCTATAGCACGTCGCGGTCGCACCTCTGAGGTTGATAACGACGTTGAGGACTTGCCGGATAGGTTTGACGATCATGGACGACCATTAGATGGCAGGGGCCTGACCTCGCGGGGCCCCAGATACCAAAGCGGGAGCTTTGAGTACCGACCGCGTAATGATGACCAAGGAAAGTGGAATGTCAACGGTTCATGGGCTGCGACAGGAACCGACAACGAGGTGGTGCATAGGCTCATGGGTGACGTGGAAGGTTTGGTTTCGGGTCGCAAGAACTGGGGAGATGTTTTGCAGGACCTTGTCAAGGGCTTGCAGAGTGGTGGAGGGGATGACGTTTTGGATGACCGCCAGCGCAGGAGCCGAAGGCACACAAAGAGAAGGGGACTGGACTATGACTAATGATTGGATTTCCTGATATCGACTGATCGACGTATGGGTGTGTTAGATTTTCATGACTGACGATGAATGAGGGAATTTTTTTTTTATTTTTTTTTTCTTTTTTCGCGTTGTTCGCTACAGGTTTGAAGTTCGTCGGCATCTATGTTTCTTGTTTAAATGATGCAGTAACTCGAGTAGCACGTGAAATCGATCTACTACGCAAGGGATGCAAGTTTTGTTTGCACGTTGTTGTTCCTTCGCAAGCTGGGCCGGATTGTTAAAGCATCACATAGGCACGCCACTTCTCGTATTGCACACGGGGAAGACGTGTTCCACACGCCCGATAGCGAATGGATATATGCTGTGGAGACGAGGTTGGCTTCCCCTCGCGATGTTGTATTGCGAATGAACGCTCTGAGATCAAGCACCATCGGTCTTACTCTTCAAGCCAGAGATGCAGAGTGAGGCGACGGCTTCAAGAAAAACGGATCTTCCTGCAGAGCCCACTATTTGTTGATATCCGGGCATCTTTACTGGACTACATGGCGGAGATGTGCATTCGATACGTACATCATACATTTGTATTTAGTCCGGGCTGATTCATCGACAGCAGACGCTGAAGAGTGGATTCAGGTATATCGGAGGTCACAGGAAGCCAATTTCTACTGGATACCCAGCTCAGTAGGTACCTAAGATATGTAGCGCCTACGACAGTCCGCCCGACGTGCAGTACCTCCCTGCCTGGTTACAGGTCACTGCCCTCTAGGCCTCCTCTTTGTCTGCCTCACCGCTCGCGAGAACACCGGGCCCGACGAGGAGAGGGTCCGTTTCGTTTTTAAAAACACATCGCCTCTGTGCTCTCTGCAACTCTCACTCAACCTGGCGCCCTTTCTTACCAGGCGCACATCAGGTCAACAACGCGACCTCTACCCCACTCAGAAATAAGAAACAGGCATTGTCTCTTGACAAGTATAGCGCGTTTCTTCTATGTCAACTCTGCCCGATAAATTGATTGTTGTGCGTTCTGAACTCCGCTAGCGGCCTAACCCAACGACCAAACAGGCAGCTGCCAGCTTTTCCCTGCCTTCCCCCAACGACCTCCATTACCCAACACCCCTCAACAGCTATCATCGCAGCTCTCACCTACCACTTCGCACCCATCATGGCTGAAGAGGACGAGCGTGACACCTCGTCAGGTGAAGAGTACACTGATTCGAGCGATGAAGAGACCGCGTCCACCAGTTCTGGCGAGCACACGGACCCCGAGACCTTGCGCCTCTGGTACACAAATCTCCTTCCTCGAACAGTCGACATTGTCGGCGATTTCGCTGGCAGGGAGCTCTTCGTCATTCATGGCGAGGGCCTGCTGAGGCACTGCATCACCGAAGCCAAAGTTGACTTCCAAGATGGTATGCAGCTCCTTCACGCCGTCTACGCTGTAGAGAAATTCCTCGACGAGCTGAGGCAGAGAGGTTGCAACTTCGACATCCTCTTCTTCAACGCCCATGCGAATGCGGTACTTCCCGAGTCAGTCGCGGCTGAGAACGCCTCAATAGCGACGGCCAAGTTCGCACTGGCGAGAACTGTTCTGATCGAGCACCTGAAACGGCATGCGAGGAACGGAGGGAACGTCTCTGATCGTCGAACCAACGTCACAGTCTTTGACGACTTTGACTCTGAGGACTTCCGTCGCTACCGTGCTGAAAATGCTGTGCATTTCTTTCTCTGTAACGAGGGCACGTCCTATGGCGAGAACGACGAGAGTGTAGGTGCCGGAAGGACCGTCGTTCTGAGGCATTTCATCTACAGGCTCGTATCCGAGGGGTATCATGTGGCCGTCATCAATGACGTCCAGTTTATGAGCTCCAAGGTATGTTGGAACTGATACCAAGTCACAATCATGAGCTCGCACTGACTCGGATAAGATTTTCACAACCCTCATCTCGGGATCAAACACAAGGCTTGCTGATCTCGACCTACCCGAGGGCGTCTCTCGATCCGCTGAAAATGCGGCCTTGACCTCTCTGATCGACCAGATCAAAACGCCTCTCGTCGAGCAGAACATCGCTGGCGAGTCTGCAGATAGACTCACCGTGCGCGAGCTAGTAGTTATTGCTGCCCTCAAACAGATCTTGCAGTCTGGCAACTATGGATCCGAGGCCGCCGCGCTCCTACTCCACACCGCTTTACTCGGTGCGTCCAGTCTGTCCGAAAGGCTTTGCGGCAACGCCTCAAAGGCACTGGCCGGAACACAAGCATCTTTCTTGGACAACTTCTTCAGGACAGCTCGCGATATCATCAAGGGTCTGTCTCAAGATGCATCGCTCGACAACCTAACCTGGGATATTTACGATCTAGTTGATGGTAATATCTTGGCTTCACTTCTACAGGACGAGGACGCTTGTGACTCTCTTTCTGTGAGAGTCTTAACCCGTGCGAATCTTCTGAGGAAAGCCCTTGCCGAGGCTACCGATGAGTCCAAGGTTTCCTCCATTCCCCAATATGACGAAGACGAGGATGACGAAGAGCGGGCAGAGGAGTCGGCAACTCAGGACCGCGACACATCTGTCCTTCCTTTCTCTCATCCCGTCTTTGACAAACACCTCGACTCCGTCCAGGTCCGACCTGATGCACGATCCTCCAAGTCGACGACGGCAGCCAGCATCTTCGAAGAGCTGAGCAACTGGAACAAAGACAAAAAGCCTGTCGATCCTCGCAAGCCTCCCCCGAAGCTTGGTTTCTGGGCAAAAAAGCGTCATCAGAAGCTTATGGCGGACATTGTCACATATTCCGCCTCACTCACCAACGCAACCGGTAGAATCATCGACCCTGAAGTTGTCGTCTCCGGTACCGGCAACCAAGCAAAGGTTGCTAAGCAAGTTGAGAAGGCGAAGAAAGTCGGCGGGGGTAAGGCGAAAGCGCTTGCAGCGGCGAAGGCCCTACAGGCGTCGAAGCATGAGAAGAAGGGAAACACGGCCATCGAACACTGGAAATCAACCATTGCCGAGCTAGACGAGGAGAAGAATCTCGTCAGGCGGTATGGTAAGACGTTGAGGTATATCCACAATCGACCCTCGGAGGCGTTGGCTGTTGTTGGCCCCGAGGGTTACCTTTACATGTGCAATGTGCTTGTTCTCATGTGGAAGAAGCGATGCGAGACCACCAAGAGAAAACTCAAGGGTATGCACCGAACCTATTCGTACGAAGTGGACCAAACTGACAGTGTTGCAGGAATTGACATTGTGGCTCTCCTCTGGGACAGACTGCTCTATATCGCGCGGTCTCCCAACGCAACCCCTGAGGTTCTCAAAGCCGTTGATCTGATCAAGACCTGCGTGAACCTTCCGTTCCCCGAATTGGTGAAGAACGAGACAGCCTCGCGCGATCTGAGCTTTAAACTTTCTATCAAGGCGTCCAACAAGGACCTCGCCATACCTCTCAATCTGACCGAGTTTCAGCTTGAGCACTCAGGACCTTACATGGAACGCAATTTCGACTCGAAGCCCGATGACAGAGTGACATTCGATCCCGATGCCTGGCAGAGAAAGGTTCTCGATACTATCGATGCCAATAATAGTCTGATGGTAGTCGCGCCCACTTCTGCCGGTAAGACTTTCATCTCATTCTACGCGATGAAGAAGATCCTCCAGGCCAATGACGACGATGTCCTTGTCTATGTCGCCCCCACCAAGGCATTGGTCAACCAGATCGCGGCTGAAGTCGCTGCGAGGTATTCAAAGTCATACACCAGAGAAGGCAAGTCTGTATGGGCTATTCACACTCGCGACTACCGAGTGAACAATCCGACCGGCTGCCAAGTCCTCGTTACAGTACCTCATGTACTGCAGACCATGTTGCTCGCCCCAAGTAATTCCGACCGTCCCAGCGCCTGGGCGCGTCGCGTCAAGAGGATCATCTTTGACGAAGTACACTGTATCGGCCAAGCCGAAGACGGTATTGTCTGGGAACAACTCCTGCTACTTGCGCCTTGCCCCATCATCGCGTTGTCTGCCACGGTTGGCAACGCAGGCGAGTTCCACGACTGGCTCGCTGCGTCGCAGGCGCAAAAGGGCTACAAAATGGAACTGGTCGTCCACAATGCTCGTTACTCCGACTTGAGAAAGTTCGTTTACTGTCCGCCGAAGCAGCTCAAGATGGATGTCTTGGCGAAGCAGGATCAGTTGCCAATTCCAGGTATCGACCAAGGGGAGGAGAGGAACCCACGCTTCTTCTTCACCCACCCTATTGCTGCGTTGCTCGACATCAACCGTGGCAGCTTGGACGATGTCAGCCTGGAGCCTCGCGATTGCTGGACTCTGTGGAGGTGTATGGTAAAGCACCAGACTACCGACTTCCCGGTCGCGAAGTCTCTGGACCCTGGCAGCACGTTGCCAGAAATCATCAGCAAGGCTGATATCCTCAGTTGGGAGGCTGGACTGAAGGATGTCCTCCAGAAATGGATGGTAGTCCCTGAATCGCCATTCAGTGCAGTAAGAACCGAGCTCTTGGGATCTGCCTTTGTCGAACTACAAAAGGATTTCGTCTCCCAGGAAAAACGTCTCAAAGAACGTACGACAATCATCCCGCTGTTGTATGATCTTAACGAAAACGACAGTCTGCCCGCCATAGCATTCAATTACGACCGCGCACAATGCGAGGAAGCTCTCAAGACTGTCCTGGGACACCTCTCTACTAAGGAGACGGCTTGGAAGGAGTCGAGCAAAGAGTGGAAGCAGAAGCTGGCGGACTATGAGGAGTGGAAGAAAGCCGGGCTCAAGGCAGCAAAGGCCAAGCCCAAGAAGGACAGACCTGCAGCTGGCAACAAGGACGACAGGCAGGGCGGCTCCCGCGACGACAACAAGAACTCAAAGATGCAGACAGCCCAGGCCAACGCTAGCATTGAGGTCAGCCCTTGGGAGAGTTTCAATCCCGAGGACCCTCTTGAGCAGTTTAGCTTCGGCGATCGCACGAGACTTTCGCGAACCGAGTTTGCTGAGATGACAGATGACCTGAGCAGCGACAAAGTCGACCAATGGCTGGTCCAGTCTCTGAAGAGAGGTCTCGGCGTGCATCATGCTGGTATGAATCGGAGGTACCGTCAAGTGTAAGTTCATCTCCTCCCCTTGAGCCAAATGCCCTTGGGAAATGATTTTGCTGACTAGGGACAAGGGTCGAAATTTTGTTCCGCAAGGGCTACCTGGGAGTCGTCAT